GTAACGGTGTAGTAAGAAATAAAGAGACGATACTCAAAAAAATTATAGAGAGGTTTCGACGAAAGTTTAAAAGTAACAAGGCATATATTTAAAAAGAACTTTAGGGTCACTACGAGAATAGTTTGAATGATATTAAACAAACAAGTCAATTAATAAAAATGGAAAAACTTTTTCGTTAAACAATACATTTAAATTGACGAATGTATTCTTTCGAATTCACTTGCTTTCTTGTGTTTTTCTTCTAATTAATAATTAAAGGGTAAGACACTGTAAGAAGTTGTAGCAGACCTACAGTTTGAAGTGGTTCAATCGATGGCCGATGACTTAACATGATGTAACTAATATGAGCTTGTTGGGCGCTTTATCTCTTAAACATAAATGAAAAGAAAACCGAATGGCATCAAGATTATGAATATTTGCTTAATGTATTGGAAACGGAGCACCGGAAATCTTTTGTCGAACAAACTAATTTCACTAAATTTTTCTAAGCTGAAAACTACTAAAGCATATTTTAAGCGACCCCTGACGTCACATGGCTCCAGGTAACTTGTCTATTCAACTCGTCGGTTACGCCATGCCAGTTCTTAATAAGAAATAAAAAAATAAAAAACTAAGTTTTGTCTTAAAATGATTGAATTTGAATAAGAAATTACTGAGCTCTTCACTATTGGTAAATTATTTATTTTTACATGAAACCTATAATATAAAATGAAAAGTATATTGTAAATAAAGCATGAAAACCAAACAAATTTTACAAAGTTGGAAAAATCTAAGAAGGAAAAACATATTTTATTCAGAAATCCGAAAAAATTATTTTGCCTTGGTCTGCTATTAGTTTTATTTGTTTATTCACTGGCATTGTGTGATGTAGTAGGTGTGCTACAATATATTGAAAATCGATGCATGCTATTTTTGTAAAAGGTAAAAAAGGTTTTTTTTTATAGCATTACATGTACCGTGAAAGTCAATATTTTTTAACCAAACTTTCAGGATAGATTTACATTTAAATAAGGTCAATTTTGTCTAAAGACGGTCGCTAGAGGGTATTAGTTTCCATGCTCACTACATTGTGCGTCGTCGACTCAAATTGTTTTCCAGATAATTTTTCCAATTTTTTTACCTACGTAAATTCTTTTAGACAAAACTGATCTTACATTAATATAGATCTACCCTGAAACTTTGGTCTAAATATTCAAAGGATACACTTCCATGATAGTAACAGTATACGTATTAGCTTCACACGAAATTGTAGACATCGACCTGCAAAATATTCTAGCACACCTAGTACCTACATCATCATGGACCAAAAATTTTGACCACATCGAACCTTCGTCCAGTACTTTCGATTTGAAAATACGTTTTGGTTCCATTTAGTGACGCTTTTATAAAATTTATTTATTTTTAATTTCTTACGTAAATTAACATTATTAAAATGCAAAAATATTGACATTGTAAATTTTATCACAATTATACGTATTCAAAACTACAAATATTGCTACAGTAAATAAAACAGTAAGTGTAAATAGAAATGTTTTAATGTAGAACTAGATTAGCACATACTATTATGTAATATGAACGATAGTACACACATGTATAAGTACTTACTACTAATTTTATTTCTTGTTTTTGAGTTAAAAACTATAATTAAATGAAAGTCTTGTTAATGTATAGAAAATCATTAATTTAATTCAAATTTAAATTTTTTCGCTTTCAAAATATTGTTATAATAAAAATCAAAGCCAAAATGAGGCCAACAACAATTCATTTCTATTTATCTGTATTATTAATTTCCTCCAAAAATACGAACAGTGTGCATACGCTTAATCAGTTTTTGCCCCCTTATAGGTAAAATGTTTGAAAATCCTGCTTTAGAAAAATGATGTACGTACTAGATAAAATGGTATGTTATGTAAATAGTTTTATCGATCGAGTCTTGACTCTTGTCCTATAATTTTTATATTGTTTGTTGTTTGATGTTTATGTAAGAAAATTACAATTATTATCTAAACGTTTTTTTTATAAACAATTGCTTCTATTATTTTTAATTTAAATAAACAGCGGTTTTGAGGACATTTAAATGATATAATGTTACAAAGGTTTCTTTTGTTATTAGGTATTTTTTGGTACATTTTTAACATATTTATCTTTGATTAGTATGCTTAGATTTGCAGATGATATAGCAGTATTAGCATCTAACAAGGAGGAGTTAGAGATAGTTTTAAATAAAATGGAAGCGGTATTGAAAAAACAGTATAGTCAGAAAATAAATAAAAGTAAAACAAAACTACTAGTATGCAAGGGAAGAACAAATAGGGAAAGAGCGAATATAAAAGTAGGAGACGAAAAGTTAGAAGAAATGGCCGATTTTAAGTATCTAGGAAGTCAGATAAGTCAGGAAGGAAGGAGTAGTAGGGATATAAAGCAGAGGATAACGCAGGGTCGAGTCGCCTTCAATAAAAAGAAGTCACTTCTATGCTCGCGAACGGTTAATTTAAAAATTCCAAAAGGATTGTTAAAGGATAAGGATACCGTGGATAGAGAAGGTTAGAAATGCTAGAGGTATTAAAAAGAAAAGGAGAACAGAAGATAGGAAAGATTGGAGGTACAGGTCCAACCAGTCTTAAGACTGACGACCTTATAATGATGATCTTTGATCCGAAAGCTTTGCCTAATCATTAATCCAACAACAAATTAAGTGTAATATTTCAGCATTATGTGCCACTAACACAAATGATTAGACAATCAAACATATTGATTTCAAAATTAATGCTAGAATGGATATTTCTTTTAACTTATCAAACTTAATTTTAACCAATAAAGAGAAAACGTTTTGAATAAAAACCTAATGTTATCAGTTAACAGCGATTTTCGAAGCAAGTGTTCTTTTGAATGCAAGTGAATTATTAGGTACCTCTAGTCGCATCAGTTTAATTTTACCGGCTTTGGATAAAAAAGGTAAAATTGCAAATATTTGCTTTATTATTTATTACTGGAACAATAAATCTACTAACTGGTGTACCTACCAGAAGGAAGAAAAAGATACCCTTATCTCTCTAGGCTAGTCGCAGGTAATGAACATTGCTGGTATTTTATGAATTTTGTGCATCTTTCTCTCTATTTAAAAATTTTGTGAAGTTTTTCTCTCTTTTATTACTATATTACCGAATGCTTTATGAAACTTGAATAAATTACAATTGCGTTGATATGTAACAAAAGTGAGACACTCTGCAAACTGTTTAAATAGAGAGAAAAATTCACAAATTTTATAAAGTGCTCGTTACCTGTGACTAGCCGAGAAAGATAAGGGTGTCTTCCTCTTTCTTGTGGGAGGTATACGGATTAGTAGATTTATTGATCCAAACCTGACATAAAAAGGCCTTGTCAGACACATATTAGAAACAGAAACAGGACTTAAGAGGAGTAGAGGTAGACCTAGATTATATTTGAGTATTTGATATTAATTCCAATTTGATACCCCCACGCGTTCCTAAGAAAGAGGATCTTGACAGACAGACACACGTAGAACGAAATGATTCTATAAGGGTTTGTTTTTTCCTCTTGAGATACGAAATTTTAAAAATAAGGTAACTGTGTCTTTCAAATAAAAACCTAATTCAAATGATAATCGTATTTCTGTCATTAAAAATAATACGTATATATCTAGGTATAATATACTCTTGATGCGGAAAATTTACGATATTTTAAATACCAGCCAACCTTTAAAGTTCACGTCTGCATAATAGCAAGCAGATTTTTTTCGTGGTTTAACAATTTAGCTTTTAGCGAAACAAATTACATTCATTGGACGTTTATGCATAAACAAAACCGACGTAGATTATATATAGAACTGTAAATACATTCAGTACCTACATATAAAGCTGTAAGCCGCAAGGTATTCCGTGAAAGGTAACAAAATAATACCGAAATACACAACCTGTGACGTGTTGCGGCTCGGTTAAATCGAGCGAGCGAGTTGCAAGACGACGTTATATAATGCACCGCAAATGCATAATACTGTTGAGAACGAACTGGGTAAGTAGGCCACAGTAGTAGTAGTAGGTAGTTGTTCGTTCTCTGTTATAAGTATCGTGAATAAATTGATAAAACAACCTGTCCGATGCAGAGCCTCGTTTAATAGTATAAGCATCAGGTTTTTTCCTTTCATGCTTTCATAAAAGAAAAATTCATCAGTTATAAGAAAGAACCTGCGCCCATTTCATCTGTATTTCACGGTCAAATCTATTACGATTATGAAAGAAAGACCTGTTCATCTTGTTACCTCTATGACCTATTGGGAAAATGATTTTACCCTTTTTTAAAGACCTGCTCTCAACAAAAACGAACAATAGGTCGTTTTTTTTAACATTTTTGGATCTCCTACCTACCTCAAAATATCACGTTTCGTGGTTTTCAATCGCTAATTTTTCATTGTGTTTAATTAATAATTATCAAATTTATTATCCATCTAATAGCTGTTTTGTACATGTAGGGGTAATGACCTCCCCCCGCGTCTATGTTTGGAATTCAGGATATAAGTGGATTTCAAAATCATGAAATAATAAAAATTGAAATGTAATGTTTCGTCTATTATTTTAGCAAAATATATGAACTCATGTTGGGCTAATAAAATTTTTCAATGACGAAAATACGTACAAACCAAAAATTGATGCTCAAGGGTGTAGCTAAGATTTTAACGAGTGGGTACAAATAATGACATTTACCTACAACGAAAACAAAAAATGAGGAAATTTTGAATGTAGGTTTCCGTGAAGAAGGGATTGTAAAAGGATTAGATATACGAATTAACGATTTAAATCGGATGGATTATTGACCAAATATGGAGAATTGGTCGACACATTGGTTGCATAAAAAAGCAACTCGAAATAACCGATGTTAGAGGGGGGATAGGGCATTCGTTTCCCTTAACTAACCCTTGTTACATAAAATTATCGTATAAAAGTGAAAAATCAAAATATCAGTGAAAAATTATAAGTACTCACCACTTACAGATGAAACGCAAAGGGTTAATTTCTTGCAAAATCTGAAACAAGAAACAATTATTAAAACTAAAAATTGCAGCTTTGCTATAAAAGTTAGACAAAAAATCTAAAATTATCTTAAAACATTAGTCGTTCTAAATACATATTTGTCATAATTTACAATATAGGTAGGTATATATTAAATAAATAGGCCATTGGCTGATATCGCTTAAGATATATAATTTTCGGGGTAGGAACAAAGTGGGACATAATGTAAACGCGACTTTGAAATGAGAATAATTCAGCTGTGTTTTAACATAAAAGTCAAGATATAACTGTCTAACAATGAAAAGGTGGAAATCATAAAAAAGCCACAACTACTATCGATGCTCTCTATCTGTGATACCATAATCCTGTTGGAATCAAGCATTAATAGTGTTAGTTCTTTGACCTGTTATAGGTTTCAATGTCTTTTCTGTAATTTAAAATATAGCACATATTTCATTCTTGGTTTTTACAATGTGGAATAAATGACCCTGTTAGGGAAAACTAAAATTATAGGCTCAATAAGGATTGATCTTTTTGTTATCTGTACAACGTGCTCCCATAATTGTTCTGGATAAAGATTACAATCTCATCGTTATCTAACGCGAACAACTTGTCCACTTTAAAAACATCCTACAGAATAGGTCCAGACTTGGAGCCACAATTGTAGATGTTGAGCTATTTTCTTCTTTTGGATTGATCTTTCCTTCTTATTTAAGGTCCATAAAGACCTTATTTTCAGATGGACTTTGCGGTAGTCACCGGCAATCCCATGAGTAATCTATAGAGGTGTTTCTTTTGTCTTCTATTTAAGCGTTTTTTGATTTGAGAACTCTGACCTCTCAATATAAACAGATAAGTCTAGGAGCTACTAGCTGAGGTATTGGGAGCAATTTTTCATTCTTTGCTTTGGCAAAGTGGCATCCCAGTCTTGGTTTGGAAGCATTCCTCTTTTGTTTCACCGCTAATCTTCATATATAAACTTTTTATGCATATTAACGATTAAATAAACGTTGTTTAAACATCTTTTTTTATTTTCATTAAAAGCTCATTCTGTCTATTCAAATTGCATAAAATTTTTTCGATTTTCTCAATGGAATTTTCATTGGAAAACACCTCTATTCTGTGAATTTCGTTGAAATCCTTGAAGTAGCTTTCGAAAAATCCGTAAAGTACTTACTTGTATATATACAAGAAATTTCTGCGATATATTGCAGGATAATCAGCGTAAAAGTTTTGCTTGTACCTGCGCACATTATACGTTTTCATGTTTTTCGCCTATTATCTTTACTGGTTCGCATGTGCTTAAGTATAAACGAAAACCGTAACTTTTATTCAAAGAACAAATGCTATTTATTTAACGTAACGACTTATTATGCTATTCACGTGTCGGACTTGGGAGACACCGATTTTGCCAACTAAATACATACATTACATTATTATATTATTATGTAACATTTCGTGTGCCGCAATATTTATATACTAATTGCTGCTGTCTTTCAAGAAATGCTAAATTATCTCGGGTATACATTGCGTTTTTATTACAGATTTAACAACTAAAATACACGCAACGGATACTATAATAAAAGAAAATATAATACTATTAATGTCCAACTAAATATGATAATTAGCTTCATGATTTCCGGGATTCAATTGCGCATATTTATTTATAAAAAACAAGTGAGGCTTTTTCTAAGAAGAACTATCGGGGCAAGATCAATTTGGTTTAAGAAGGAATAGAGAAACACAGGAGGCTTTACGGGTAACAATAGAGAAAACGATAGAAAATGGAAAGAGTGCATAAGTACACAGGATTTGTAGATTTAAAAAATGCTTTTGACAATGTTAAATGAGACAAGATGTTAAATATACTTAAAAATGTAGGGATGAGTTACAGATATAGAAGAGTGATACTTAGTTTGTATAAACAGCAACAGGCAGTTATAGAGATGTAAATATTGTAGCGAGCACGAACGTGTTTGTGTGCGATCGGGCATACCTGTGTGTGAGCGGCTTATCGATTCGCAGACTAGCCGCGGGCGCCTTTCTTCATGTGCACCGTATTTGTAAATGTGTGTGTCGTACCTGCACTCTGGGAAAGCAATTAAACAGTTCAAAGAAAAAGAAACTTTTCCGGACGGTTCGAGAAGGTTCCCGCACGGAAACAAAAGAGTATTTAAAGGAAGACACGATCGCCGAAAAGAGTAGAAATAAATTGAGAGCACGGCGCTGTACGGGTGCGAAACGTGGACGTTGGGTGAGGGGGGAAAAGAAAAAGTTAGAAGCGTTCGAAATGTGGTGCTACAGGCGAATGATGAGGATACCGTGGACAAAGAAGGTTAGAAATGAAGAGGTGAACAGGGAACTCTGCGGAAGTTAATGAAAATTTGGCGAGATAGGTTGGTAGGACACCTTCTCAGGCATGAAGGTCTAGTCGGAGACATATTAGAGGCCGAAACGGAAGTTAGGAGTGGTAGAGATAGACCTACATTAGATTACTGTTCACAAATAGTTACATACTATTAAAAACATGTAGTTAGAAAACTTTTAAACAATTAAATTTAGTAAAAACATATCTTTCGTTTCTTTTGGTGAGAAAACCCTATTTCCCCCTTCTGGTAAATAACTGTAAAAATATAACTGTAAAAAATATAAACGTAAATTTTTACCTTGAAATTGAATTATAAGCGTCATAGATGATTGATTGGCATTGTAAAAGAAACTGTAAAAAGTTGATAATGACGGTCCTAATTATAATGGACCTGCCTATTATCTGAAGGTAATTTTAAAGAATATTTAATTATCCTCCAGGTAATTTTCACCAGTTTAATGAGATGCTTGATAATGGCAAAAACAAATATAGAAATTGTTTGATTATGCAAATACGAAACAGCTAAATTATCAACTGCCACTTCAAAAATTCACATAAAACATAATTGATAGGAAACAAAGAATCCAAAAATATTTTTTTCAAAATTTTAGACATACAAATATATACCCGAATACAACTAAAAATTATCATTTAGAATAGACATTTAATATACTCAATAAAAATATTTATTTGTTCTTTTAAATAGCTAATAGAATTATCCGCTATTTTATGACGTTTAAATGTCAGCGATCGGTTAGAAACTTGTAAGCGTATTTGTATCTGCGTATGTAGATGTGTATTTCGTTAATTATTGACTATTTGAACTGTATGTTTATTTTGGATGCCGATTACTGTTAAAACTCAAGATCAGTTAGTTACGATTTTCCAGTTGCAAGTTTTTTTTAGCACAGACTCGATAATAATGAAAGGACAATGCTCGTAAGAGTTACATCATCATTATGTACCTACTTATTTCCAAATAAAAATTTAAATGTCCAAACATCCGCAAATATGTATAGTAATAAAAATGGAAATTATAAATAAAATAAACATTAAAGATTTAAAATAAAAAAAAATCAAAAAACCCCGACTACGTCAAATGGGAATTAAAACAAGATCTGGGTAGGTAAACATATAAAAGTAAATTAAAATCACCCAAACATGGAACAGGATTCACGTCTCCTTCTGCAACTATTTACCATATTTGGTTGGGTAATCTTGGTTTCATTTTTTAATTCACCTTTTCTGCATTATGATTTTTTAATTTTTTTTTTAATTTAAATATTTATTGACCATTATAATTTAACTATTAAATTTGAAAATCCATTCTAATTTTTTTCCACTATATAAGTTAAATCAAATTAATGAGAAAAATTTCTATTGCTGCTGTCATACCCTCGCCGGGAATAGAACCCGGGACCTTTGGCTTAACGCACTAAGTTGCGAGAGATGACAGTAGTAACAATGAGAAACCGTACTTTTAATTTCACAGATTTGAATTTTCAAATTAAAATTTAATATTAACCACTATAGGAATAATGTGTATTAAATTTAACCTTTCGTAAATTGCTCCCAACAACAGAAAACTCATTCCCACTGTGTTTTCTTTGGAGTAAAATGCTTTTGCCGGACGTATCATTGAATAAAATTAAAAATAATGACGAAAATTCACACGAATTTAACATACACGACCTATGAACATTTTGACTGTAGATATATCTAGAGTACCATACACGCAATGATACGCGGACACCCCTTCTTTTCTGCCCAAAATCGTGCATTTTTTATTTTTATTTTAATTAATATACCTGTTACCTACCACAATTATGCAGGAGGGCTCCGAACATATTTGTTTATATATTCAAAAATTTTAGTTAATTTTTAAGATGACTTAATTGAGTATTCTTTGTTTTCCTTACAAGGCACGGCATGCTACGATTCTAACTGTTTGTGAATAAATAACGAATTTTGACGTAATTTTGACGTGATTCATCCTAATTATTATAAATAAAATTATAAATGCAAAAAAAATATTGTTCCCGAGGAATAGAAAAAATTAATTTTATGTGGTCGATTTCACGCCTTAACTTCTCAATTGATCATTATAAAATTTTGTACATACATTATCGGGGGTACAAAAAAATACACAGGATACCTTTTATCCAGAAAAGAAATTTGGTAGAAAAGGATAGAAAAGCTAGGTTTATGTGGTCGTCGACGATCTTTGAAACGTATTTAGAACATGAACGCGAGTGAAGCCGCGAGTAAGATCTAGTAACTAATAATTCTGCTTTATTTCACAAAAATACTTTAAACTCCATAAATATGGTTATCGCATTTATTAGACAAAACGCGCTCGTCATTTTGTACATAAATAGGAACAATGTATTATATACTGTACAGTAATTACGCCTGTAGAAATAATTACTGAAATCAGTGAACAGTACGCCCTTGTTAATAATGAACTAGAATTACTATTGTCATGAGCATGACAAAACACTGCTCAATTTTCTTAACAAGTAAAACCAGACGATACTGGCTACTTAAATAATAGATCATAATGAGACCGTGAAAAAGAAAGTGAAGATTATATAAGTGACAGTGAAACGTCGCCGGTAATTGTACTTTCTTTGACCGATCACCAAG